CACACACACACACACACACACACACACACACACACACACACACCCCAAGAGTACCAAAACCTGTTGCCACAGATGTCACTTCTCATTTGCCTTTAAGCCAGTAACAACTCATGAGTTGGAAAACATTGCCTTGGGGATTTGCTTTAGGGCTGATTTCTAAGGTGGGATAATAAAGGCACTTACCAATGCAAACCCTAATCTGTTGCTGATGCAGCTGCCAGGGCCACTGCTATGATTACTGTTTAATATTCTGCACCAACAGTACCGTGCAACCAAGTGCTATGCAGATCTATTGTGCTTTTCTTAAGTTGCACTAACAAGATAACTAAGGGTAGAATCATAGATGAGTTTAGACAGAAAAAGGCCTACAACTCCCAGCATGCCCCAGCCAGCACTGTTGTCAGCCTTTTTTACTGTCGAAACTTGCCTAGGATTGCTCCTTAAGGGAACAAATACTTTCAATAGTTACTGGGTTATGGGTTCATAAGACATTACTTGGAACAGTTTTTTACCTACTCCAATAGCAGTCCATAGGGCATAGCTTGATGTCTCTGTGGGGTTGTTCAGTTGTCAAGGAGGAATCCTGGGCAAATCCTGAATGAAGAACCCCAATAAATAGCTCAGTTTTCAAAATGTCCTATTCAAGGGCTCATGTAATTCACCATGTCATACAAAAAGACTTTGGGTAATCATTCCTCAGAAATGTTACAAGGCTGGGCCTTCTGAGACAGCACTAACCTGTCAGCAAATTCATGGACTACGTCCAATTGTCCTAACCAGAAAACCTCTCACCACAAGTAGAAACATAAACAAACCAAGAGTCTAAAGCACATCTGTATGACTTGGCGTGAATTCAATATGGCACAAACAGCAAAATCAGGCCATGTTACACTGTAAACTATGTCTGACAGGAATCGCTTTTGACAGCCCTTGCCTCTTTAAATTCATCCGCAGTCACACACTAATTAAACTCTATGCAGTTACTGGAAACCCAAATTAAACTTTGCAATTCATTACTTTTGATTTGATGTCAGAGACACATCCATTTCCTAGTTGATGACTCTAAAGAGTTTGTTCAAGTACTCTGACCCACGCAATAACAAAATGAAAGGTGGCAGTAATCTTTTAATCTGACGGTGCATTCAGAAAAAGGCTTGTATTGTACAGTTACCCCGCCTCAGTCACAGCATTTTATGTGGAGTCCAGACAACACCTTTATCCACTGTAATCAGCCTGCATTTTCCCACCTCTACATCCATCATTTTTCCAACCAACAAAATTCTGTAAGGCGGGGAGTGGAAGACCAGTGTAGGATGGGTGGATGCCATGTTAGGAAACAATGCTCCTTTCTCTGTCACCCACCACACATTTGGTTTTCCAAGTCATTTTGTGCTTTCAGCAGTTCAAGAATCAAAAGTCCACCCTGTTTCCAAGAACTTCTGTCCTTCAGTTCTAGGCAGGGCTAGGAAGAAGCACAGCAGAACTTAAGCTACTTTATTTGTCCTTTCTATCACTGGTGAGTCACACAACCAGTGTGGAGTGTTTTGGTATATGTAGCCACCTGTTTTCTCACATAGATTAAATGCACACGCATGTGGTGCCAGTTTTGAGAGTGTGGCCACCATGAGCATTAAACCATGGCATGAATATCATGAACTTTATAAAAATATTGTCAGAGCATAGCCATGTGTTCACTGGACTTATAGAGAGAGATTCCCACAAAATGATTTACCATGTGTACATTCTCTCTATGCAGCAAGGAAGAGAGGGCAGTTTGTAAAAAAAATGTTTAACAGGGGAAACAGCCCTTGTTTTTATTAAATCCTTGATTGTTGCCAACAAAGGTCTGCATTTTCTGTCTTTTCTTCATTATCTGCTTAACTTCCAGTTTCTCAAAACATCCATTAATAATAGCTGTTGGGGAAATATTGGAAATCTTGACAAGCTTGGTAGATCAAGCATTCATGACTCCCCATGACTTGACCACAGAAATCTAAAAGATTTATTAGTTTCTGAGGCTTAGAACAATGGAATGCCGCTAACCATACTGCAGGTATGATGAGCTTTGCAGCAAAAAGCCAAAGGAATTTTTGCCAAGCCTCCCACAAAGGAGGTAATATGCAACATCCAGACTCGACTCACGGCCAAGACGCAGCAAAGTTGCATGGTAGTCATGTCTGCAGAAAACAGATTGCATAAAAAAGCAATGAGACAGCTGAACAAGGCGGGGATGTGGAAATTGGTATTATGATTGTGATTACCATTACCATTACAATTATTAATCTCCTGCCATTTTTCCTTTTGTGAGGATCCCAAGGTGTTTTCCATAGTTCTCTTTCACTCCATTTTATCCTCAGAAAAACAGTGCATTGAGGTGGGTAGGGCTGAGAATGAGTGACTAGCCCAAAGTCACACAGTAACTTGCATGGTTAAGTGGGAATTAGAACCCAGACCTCCCCCGTCCCTAGTCCATCATTCTAACCATCATTCTACACAGGCTATCATGGCAGTGCAAATGTGGTGAAAGATCATGGAATGCTAAATTTAGAAGGAAGCAAAAGACTTTTCAAAAGGCTAACCAGTTCTTTTCAATGACGCAAGGCTATCTCTTCTCACT